ATCCCGTATGCTGAATCCCTGACAATTTTCAAGCGACAGCTGAAAAGTCATCTCTTTCCATGCTACTTGACTTCATCCTAAATTAAAAAAAAAAAACTTTGTCTTTCTCTTTATTTATTCCTACCCTTTCTTGCTTGTACTTATATTTGAACAATGCCTAAAACTTGGTATTAGAAGCACTTCCTGTGTCTGTTTGCCTCTTTAAGAAGAATCGCTTTATGTATTCCCCAATTGTAAGTTGCTTTGGATAAAAACGTCTGCAAAATGACTAAATGTAAATGTAAATGCTTAACTGATCAGTATCGGCTCTTCTCAGTCCACATTTGATTCAGATTTGTCGGACATACAGGCATTCAGTGCGAGCTTCATGCTTTCTAAACATACTGTATCTCCACTTGAACTTGCAATTATTCTGCTTATTGTACATATAAAATACAAGAAGTTTATATCAGTAGTCACATATCCATAATTGTGACCACAAAGTCTGTTTACAATGTCTACCATTGTAACATGTTTACATCTGAGAAAGTGTATCTTGTAATATATAAACATAAACATATGTCATAAATATATTTATTTTAATCTGCACAACTCTGAATATATTGGATTGATTTTAATAACATTAATGTACTTGAAGTGTACACTAAACATACATTCCTTTAGGAATATACAAGTATCAGATCGGGATAAGGTATCGGCAGATACTCAATATTCAATGTCAATGGCACAAAAAATCTGATCGGGACATCCCTAATGTAAACCAATTTATGTCGTGTTTGTGTGTATGTCAGGGGCAGTTTGAGAGCTAGTGAGTTCCCTTTCAAGTGAAATGTATGAAAAACAGTACATGATCACTATTATTCCCTGTTTCTTGTTGGCCTCAATAATCCTCTTCTCTAGCTAGATTATGCTTTTTTGTAGCCAGATGGTGTAGCTATGGCAAGGGTTACTACAGATTCAAGCACTTTTCGAGCACTTTCAAGCAGTGACACTCTGTGCTTTTCAAGGGTGGGGAGGCTATTTATAATAAACTTTAACAATAATAAAATGTACTTGACGATAATCATTTGTTATTAGCCACATGTTGTAAAGTTCTGCCTATTGAAGAACTCATTCAGTCATCTAATAAATAACCCATGATTCCAGGCAGGACAAAATACAATGATAGAAAGCTCAATGTTCAATAAATAATCAGATGTACATTATATGCAAAAATAGCTCAGAAGCAAACTATAGCAAGATAAACTGCTATAGAAATGAGTTGTAGTACCCATGTCATTACACACACACACACACACACATATAAATAAATAAAGTTACTGGCGTAATGTATTTGAAAAAAATAACTCAGATATTTCCTTCTAAATTAAAAAGTAATGCTTTACATTACTAGTTACTTAATTTGATTACGTAACTCGCGTTACTTGTAATGAGTTATATATATATATATATATATAGTCATGTGAAAAAGTTAGGACACCCTCTTGAATTCCATGGTTTTCCGTATCAGGACATAATAAAAAAAAAAAATCTGGTCCTTGACAGGTCTTACAATTTGGAAAATAAAACCTCAGATGAACAACAACACATGACATATTGCACCGTGCTATTATTTATTTAGCAAAAATAAAGCCAAAATGGAAAAACCATTTGTGACAAAGTTAGGACACCCTTACTATTAACATAAGAATTAAGAGGGTAAGTAGCTGTCAGGCACTGCTAATCAAAAGCCTTGATTAACTGATCAACAAGTGTGAGTACCTCTATAAAAGCAGAAGTTTTGGCAGTTTGCTGGTCTGGAGCCTTCAGGTGTGTGTTAACACAATGCCAAGGAGTTAAGACATCAGCAATAATCTTAAAGAAGCAATTGTTGCTGCCATCAATCTGGGAAGAGTGACATGGCCATTTCCAAACAATTTGAAGTCCATCATTCTACAGTGAGGAAGATTATTCACAAGTGGAAGACATTCAAAACAGACACCAATCCTCCAAGGAGTGGACGTCTCAGCAAATTCACCCAAAGATCAGACCGTGTAACGCTCAGAGAAATGGCAGGCAACCCAAGAACTACACCGCAGACTCTACAGGCCTCAGCTAACATGTGAAATAATAAAGTTCATGACAGTACAATTAGAAAAATATGGGACAAGTATGACATGTTTGGAAGGCTTGCCAGAAGAAAGCCTCTTCTCTCTAAAAAAGCATGGCAGCACAGTTTAGGGTTGCAAAGCTGCATCTAAACAAACCATAAGACTTTTAAAACAATGTCCTTTGAACAGATGAGACCAAGGTGGAGATGTTTGGCCATAATGCACAGCAGCACGTTTGGTAAAAACCTAAAGAGCATATCAGCACAAACACCTCATATCAAAAGATACACATGCTGGTGGAGGGCTGATGATTTTGGGCTTGGTTTGTAACACCACAGGACCTGGGCACCTCACAGTCATTGAGTCGACCGTGAACTCCTCTATATACCAAAGTATTCTAGAGTCAAATGTGAGGACATCCATTCGGCAGCTAAAGCTTGGCCAAGACTGGGTGATGCAACAGCACAATGATCCCAAGAAAACCAGCAAATCTACAACAGAACAGCTGAAAAGAAAAGAATCAAGGGGTTACAATAGTCCAGTCAAGGTCAAGACCTCATCCTGACTGAAATTGCACATCAGCTGGGTCTGCGTGGAGAGGGTTCTGGCCTTCAGATTCTTGGGCATGAACATCGCTGAGGATCTTTCCTGGAGCACAAACACTTCAGCAGCGGTCAAAAAAGCACAGCAGCGACTCTATTTCTTGAGGACACTGAGGAAGAACCATCTACAAGAGCAGCTGCTAGTGTCCTTCTATCACTGAGCCATTGAAAGTGTGATAGCTTACTGCATCTCTATGTGGTACTCCACCAGCTCAGCGGCAGACAAGAAAGCTCTCCAGTGGGTGATCAATTCGGCACAAAAAATCATTGGCTGTCCTCTGCTTTCCTTAAAATAACTTTACACTGCATGCTGCCTTGGAAGGGCAGCGAACATGTTAAAGGATCACTTCCATCCTGGACATAATTTGTTTGAATTGCTGCCCTCTGGTAAACATTTTAGGTCCATCAAATCACGGAACAATAGACTTAAGAACAGCTTTTACCCCAGCGGTATACGGGAGCTGAACGCTGTCAGCATACACACGCACACACAACACACACACATAAAAAATGAGAAATGCACCAATCTGATGGGGCATCTTATATCTCAACCGACACAGGTTAACAACACCCTCTGTATACCTCTGTGTGTGTCTATTTAGTATAAGTTTACATCTTATATTATTCAGTTTGTGTTTGTGTGTTTATTCTGTTGCACTTACCTCTCTTTTATTGTGTGCAATATCATGCAGCACTTTCTGCTCACCGTGCAATATTTCTGTGCAATATCTGACTGTTCGTTTTGCTGTTATGGTTTCTCTTCTAAATTAGATGTTTAGCTTGCACTAATTTATGTGTGATTGCACTGTATTAATGTATTTAATTGTACTAATTTAGCTGTACTTTTAGTATAGTGACAATAAAAGAATCTTGAATCTTAAAATGCTGTGGTTATAGCTGTGTTTAAACAAATGCCCTTAAACCTCAATAAACTGGAGCGATGTTGTAAAGAAGAGTGGGACGAAATTCTTCCAGAACGATGTGAGAGACTGATTAAGCAATTGAAGGCAATTGAATCATAGGGTGTCCTAACTTTGTCACACATGGTTTTTCCATTTTGGCTTAATGTTTGTTAATTAAACAATAACACAGTGTGATATGTAATGTGATGTTGTTCATCTGAGGTTTTATTTTCCAAATTTGCCAAGGACCAGATCATTTTTTATTATGTCCTGATACAGAAAACCATGGAATTGAATAGGGTGTCCTAACTTTTTCATATATATATATATATATATATATGATGTGAGTGTGCGAGAGATGTGAGTGTGCGAGTCCAGTGATGGACTGGCCATCTGTTCAGGGTGTTCTCTACCTGTGGCCTGAAATACTGGGACAGGCCCCAGCGGTTTCAAAAATGCATGGATGGATGGACACTCTAAGAAAAAAATATCAGCCATTTTTAAGGATGATGTTCAAAATTTAAGCACATTCCAAACTTTGTACACTTTAAAATTATAACAGTTTAAATCTAGCATTTCCAAACTTTTAAAACTGCCCATAATAACTATTCAAACCTTGAGCCCTTTGGGTCCTGGACAACTGTGTAGAACAGGGGTCACAACCCTAATTAACACACCTGAACCAGCTAATCAAGGACTTAGGTGGATCTTAGGTAGATCAAGGCAGGTGTGTTGAGGCAAGTTGGAGCTAAACTCTGCAGGACACCGGCCCTCCAGGATCAAGCGTGGTGACCCCTGGTGTAACATCTCCTATATCTGTCAATTAGCCCTAGCCAGCGCTTCTCAAACCTTTCTTGAACAAAACATTTTGTATATCTCTCTCATTTAACACACCTGATTTAACTCAACCCATTAGTGGAGACGGCAAGACCTGAATTGTGTGTTCAAAATGTGCAGTGGTGAGGGGGCTTCAGGATAGGTTTAAGAAGCACAACAAGGGTTTTAAATTTTGCAGCTTTGAAACAAAAATAATCGTAAAAATTATGTACAATTATTCATGGAACATCTTTATTCTGTCTGATGTCAAAGCAGTGACAGATCATTTGACGCACATACATTCAAAATTAATTTAATACAGGTAAGATCAATCAAAACAAAATTTCACTCAATATTTGTGCCTAGATATTTTTAGGTGAAACTGCTTTTTTTCAAACATTTTTATCAACATGCTGTAACAGGTTGATTTTTGTTTTAACAAATTTTTTTTTTTTTTTTTTTTAATCTGATGCTCTCATCCAAAACTGACTGTCAATTCATGCATTTTCTGTGTTGTGAAAGTTGTTTGGGTGTATGTATTTTGTCTATGTATTTTCTTATCAATGATATCAGATCGACTTTTTTTATAGTGTGGATCATGTTGGAGAGGTAATGATTACAGCAGGACTACGCAAATGTAAGTCTACAGACACACAACTTCTGTCTTTGGTTTGTTGTGTTTTAAATGTTATTTTATTGTGTCTAGATGCCTGTGATCTCACACTGGATCCAAACACAGTGAACATTCATCTTTGTCTGTCTGAGGAGAACAGAAAGGTGACACGTTTGGAGGAGCAGCAGTCATATCCTGATCATCCAGACAGATTTGATTTCTTTCCTCAGGTTGTGTGTAGAGAGAGTCTGTCGGGACGCTGCTACTGGGAGGTTGAATGGAGCGGGTGGAGGGGGGTTGTTATATCAGTGGCACATAAAGAAATGAGCAGGAAAGGAGGAAGTGATGATTGTAGGTTTGGGTTCAATGAAAAGTCCTGGAGTCTTGATTGCTCCGATGACATTTTCACTGTCTGGCACAATAAACTTAGCACTGACATACCCGTCCCATACTCCAAGAGAGTAGGAGTCTATCTGGACTGGCAGGACGGCACTCTGTCATTCTATAGTGTCTCCAAAACACACACACTCGCACACTTACACACATTTTACTCCACATTCACTGAACCTCTCTGTGCTGGATTCAGGGTTTTTATTGACTCTTCCGTGTCTCTTCGTCAAATTGGAAAGATTCGATACAATAGGGTGAAAGGTATTTGGAAGGGGTTGAGAAGTTTGGAACATCCACAAATCATTAACATGTAAGAATCAGCTCATGTTAAAGCTGCCGTTAAAGCCAAAAAACATTCTGAACATCATCTAAATTTAGACAGAAGAACTTATGTAATTACATGAATATATGACTTCCTGCACCTTGCGACACCTATTCAGTTCAGTATTCAGAGACCCATTCAGTCATAGTGAGGTAATAAGAAAACAGTCTAGATACTTCCTGATCTCTGTAAAATGTAGCACATAAATTAACAGTAAGCAGTGTGTTAAACAAGGTTAAAAATATCATCAGCCATTTCAGTCTGATATTAATAGTTTGGTTTTCAATGTGCCTGGACATGTTGTAAATTATTCCTCATAAAGATTAGGGGTGAGGTCACATAAGGACGAGGGTGGCGCTGGCCCACCTGATTAAAGCTGCCAGAATAAACTAGTGGTCTGAAAATAAAACGGTATATAATTAATATCTGTTGTGTACATATCTACAGTTGTAATGTGTATTTCTACAAATGCAGTGTGCAGCACTGATGCTGATTTACACAGATAATTTGTACTGTGCTGTTTTATGTCATTTTCAAAGTTCTAACACGTTAACCAAAATAGCATATATTGTGCTCTAGCTCTTAGAGTAGCACAGCTGCTTTCAAAACAATGTAGCTTTTCCAGTAACAACCAACCGTTTCCAACCGTAGCAATTTAGCTCAGTAGTGCAACTGAAAAAAGTTTCCACAAAATATAAAAAAATACAGTTTTTAACATTGATAATAATAAGAGCCATTATTAATAACTGAGCACCAATAATAATTGAGCATTAGAATTTGTTAGAATTTATGTAGTGCTTTGACATATTGTTTTGACCAATGCTGTATAGCTGTGTTTTGAGGTGTTTTCATTGTCAAACTACACATTTTTAATGATTAAATATGCCATTATTTTATATGAAGATGTTAATTGTCTTTAATTGACAAAATATTTTAGTTTGTCTTAAGCCCGAGACACACTGCATGATTTCCGGCTGTCCCAGACGAAAGACTGGCATCGTGAAACAATCGTGGCGATTTCTGTGATTGTGGCTCCTAATCGGTGGTCCTGTGTCGTACAAAGAGAGAGGTTCAAAGATGGCCGTTGTCACGGTCTTGCGACCAAAGATAGCCTACGATACATCATGATCATTGCACAGTGTGTTTGCTGCTACGATCCACGTTTACTGACCAGCCAATAAAAATGCGACATGAAATCAACATGGCGCTAAAACATAAAACTGCTTACCTCAAGCTCTTATGCCTTCCTCTTTCGCCGCTTCCACTTTTTTTCAGCACACATAAAAAATACAACTGCTAAAGTGTGATTTATCATGCTCTTTTTGTTTACCACTAGTGCATGCTGATGATGTTTTATTCTTCTATAGAAACGTGGGTCGTAGCGTACGAGTCAATAGGTGTCCTCATCGTACAGTCTACACTCATGTCGTAGCCATGTTTATTAGATCCATGCCGCACAGTGTGACATGCAGTGATCTTTTAGGATTGCTAAAATCATGCAGTGTGTTTTGGGCTTTATAAACATATAGCAGCCACTGAAGCGGACTGCCAGCCGTCAGACGGTTAGAGATTAAACCCCTACTGTCCATTCCTTTGGAGTAAATGAAACAAATTGTATACACTGCATTATTGAAACAAGATGTTACATATTTGTACTAGATGTGTGAGATTAATGTTTAATAAAACAAAATGAGAAGGCCAAAAAGGGTTAGGTTGTGCCCCGCTCTTCCCTAATGTTATTTTAGTTAAAGTCATACTTTAGTTAAAGTCTTTTTTTTTTTTTTTCATTTTTCATAAATTTCAAATTTGTAAAAATCCCATAGTTGTTTTTTTTAAGTCACTGTTATTTGTTGCATTTTTGGTAGAGTGAAATATATAGTTCTTGGAAATCTTAATGGACAAATTCAATCTTATATGGAAAATTTCATATGGAAATTCAATTCTTTGAAGTGCTTGAGTTAATTTTTACTAATTGCACAACAGATCACAACAATAAATGATTTGTATAGGCTAGTACTGATATCTAGTACTACCTGCAGAGTTCAGACCCAGTACTGCTCCAGCACACCTGTCTGTAATTATCAAGAGTTTCTGAAGATCTTTAAAGTCATACTTTAGTTAAAGTCTTTTTTTTTTTTTTTCATTTTTCATAAATTTCAAATTTGTAAAAATCCCATAGTTGTTTTTTTTAAGTCACTGTTATTTGTTGCATTTTTGGTAGAGTGAAATATATAGTTCTTGGAAATCTTAATGGACAAATTCAATCTTATATGGAAAATTTCATATGGAAATTCAATTCTTTGAAGTGCTTGAGTTAATTTTTACTAATTGCACAACAGATCACAACAATAAATGATTTGTATAGGCTAGTACTGATATCTAGTACTACCTGCAGAGTTCAGACCCAGTACTGCTCCAGCACACCTGTCTGTAATTATCAAGAGTTTCTGAAGATCTTAAATAGCTGGCTCAGGCCCAGCTGTCCACACGAACGCGGGTGTTTATATCGGCCATTTGTCCACACGCAAACGCAGCACCAGTTCACTGAAATCGAACATTTTTGAAAACTCCTGCCAGGGTAAAGATTTTCAAAAACTCCAGTTGCAGTGTTATCGTGTAGATGTATCGTGTAGAAACCGGAGTTTTGGGCTTGTGACGTCGGAGCATGCGCTGTTATCGCCGCCTACTGGAGACTTTTTCAGGCTTCTGATTGGCCAACATGGCTTTACGGTTGAGATTATATCGCCACCTGTTGGCTTGGCATGCTCTTGACAGTGCTTCATAGCATACTTTTGCATTTTCCTGTGGACGGAGATTTTTTTTAAAACGGAAGAAGGAAAAACTCTGTTTATAAAAATACCCATGTATGTATGGACTAGGCCTCAGTTGTGTTTGATCAGGGTTGGAGCTGAACTTTGCAGGAAAGTAGATCAGGATGGGGCAGCCCTGCTATATAGGGTCGTGTGAGTGCTGGATGATTATTGACCTATAGCAGAGTAAATGAGCTAAAAATAATGTTCTATGTTTGTTATGAGAACTTTCCTGGCTAACCAACAACAAACCTTAAATGTGCTATGTATGATTTTTACTTTCATAAAATTAGCAAAAACTATAGGTGGATTAACCAAATGGAAAATTGGGCAAGTACCAAGGGTGATACGTTGTCTGTAGCAAGACGCAACATCGAGTTTGCCAGACGCAACGTCGTCTTTAAAAAGAAACACCCGTGAATGCTCTTTCAGTGTGCTGAAGCGTACAGGAAGTGCATTAGCATGGTTCAAATCGTACTTATCTGACCGCCATCAATTCGTAGCAGTGAATGAAGAGGTATCATATCGATCACAAGTGCAGTATGGAGTACCTCAAGGCTCAGTACTAGGGCCATTACTCTTCACGCTTTGCATGTTACCCTTGGGAGATATTATCAGGAAACACGGTGTTAGCTTTCACTGATATGCTGATGATACTCAGCTCTATATTCATCGCGGCCCGGCAAAACATACCAATTTGAAAAACTAGCAGAATGCATAGTCGATATAAAAAACTGGATGAGTAATTTCTTACTGCTAAATTCTGAAAAAACAGAGGTCTTAATTATAGGACCTAAAAACTCTGCATATAATAACCTAGAACACTCCCTAAGACTTGATGGCTGCTCTGTCAATTCTTCGTCATCAGTTAGGAACCTAGGTGTCAGTTGCTTTGACACAATCTGTATTGTTAAAAGCGCTATATAAATAAAGGTGACTTGACTTGACAGGGGAGATGGCCGCCTGCAACACAAACAGGGGGTAGTGCAGCCTGATGTGTGCAACCCACTCGACACGGGAAACCACCACCGCTGAAATGCTGTACCGCCAACACCAAGAGCTCCAAAGAGCGCACTGAACTCGTTCAGTCTTCTTTTCTCAGTAGAGTAGTCAGGAGCAAAACGATGTGATCGCTCGGCTCCGAAGCGAAAAGCTGGTATGCGTTGCACCTGCTACCTTTTCATGCTCACGCTGTGATCAGCGGCAGCTGGATGCAATCATTGCATGTCAATGTCCATTGGCTCGTTTAGTTACACTCGAACTGAAGGGCTGAAAGGGAACACTTATTTTGTGTAGAGAAAAGGATACTTTGTGATTGTGTGTATTGTACTAAGACAATTGAAAATACGCTGAAATGTTTGAAAAAAGTGCACTTTTGATGATCTTTTGTGAAATTAGTATTAACAGTTTTGAAAATTTACCAGTTGCTTGTGAAAATAGTACCAAAAAACTAAATTAGATAAAATATATTGATTACAGATTCTTTCTTGTTTCATTTATGTATGACTGACAAATATGCATCATGTTAGGTTTATTAGTTTGTTTGTGTTAAAATGGTGTAATCCAAATGGATGGATTACATATATGCAATTCAAATACACAAATCCTAAATTTAGGCCTAAATATTTTTTGAGTGTAGTAAAATCAAAACCAAAAGTTAATTCAGATGTATAAATATTTGGTTGGTGATCCAATGTTGTAGGTTCAGTCCCAGAAAGAACTGATCCACGGTAGGGTTTCACAATTACAGAAATAGGCAAATCAAAGTGTGCATTATAAAGAAAATAATAACTCTTTTACAAAAACTCGTTTAAAGCACATGTGCTAGGTTCTTAAAAATGTACTCTTTGTATTTGTTTTTATAAAAAAAAAAACACACTACTCCGAACCATGAGACTGTACTCACCTGACATCAGCAGAAGAGTCCTTTAAAGGGGTCATATGATGCGATTTCAAGTTTTCCTTTCTCTTTGGAGTGTTACAAGCTCTTGGTGCATAAAGAAGATCTGTAAAGTTGCAAAGACTAAAGTCTCAAATCCAAAGAGATATTCTTTATAAAAGTTAAGAGTCAGCCACGCCTAACTAAAACGGCTCGTTCTAACATGCCCCCACATACCTACCTCACTATGTGGAAATATTAGCATAATGCAGCCCAAATGTGCACGCAAAGAAAGAAGGAGTG